AGTTATGCCTTAAATCACTATTATATTTTAAAATGCTACCTCTGTAGGCAGTTAACTATATTTTATAACTCAGCCTCAATTTAGCCTTCAGTCTTTGTTCTTTTGCAAACTTCAAGATATTTTGGTACCACACTATTTTACAGTCCCTTTTGACAAACTATGTATATTATTAAAGTTTTTACATAAACTGGTTTATAATTAGGTGATATCCTTATAATAATTAGCCCTTCACCTAATCTCATCCACTGTAATTGACCTTATACAATGACATTTTTGTTAAATGGATAGTTCACCCAAAAAGGAAAATTCTGTCATTATTTATGCAGCCTTTACTTGTTAAAAACTTTTATGAAAAGATCTTTTGAAGAACACTGAAACATGTAACGATTGACTTTCATAGTAGGAAAAAAAACAGCGACTATGGAAGTTAACAGACACAGGTTTTCAGCTTTCTTCAAACATATCTTTTTTTGTGTGTTCAACAGAAGAAAGTAAATAGTCAGTATATTCCCATTAAGGTGAATTATCATATACATTTTTGACTCTTCTTTAAAAATACCATGATATATTTGCAGATGTTTATCTGAAAAATAATGCTTTTATTGGAAAATGTGCTTTCCGTGCCGGAATGTCTGTCTTTGTTTTGGTCTCTTTAACCCGCCCAATACCAGTTGAGCCAATTTATTTCAGCACCCTGGGTTGACTTTGTGGATAACAGCATTTTTGATTTAGACTCCAAAATGAGACGCATATTCAGAGTTCCACATGAGGTTATTAATTAGCAAAATAACAAATAATACTAATATATTAATATTCCTTCTATCACATTCCGTTGGTTTGCTGCCATCAGACACACTACTGTTGATGTCGTTAATCTGGCAACCTGCTCCTGCGTGCATTTTGAACCAAGCGTGCAATACCTACTTTAACCACTGGGTGTCAACTTACATACGGCAGCTTTAAGTAAACTGTAAGTATGTGTTTACTTTACATTTTACAAAATTAAGAGCAACAATTTACCCCTGCACAGTAAAAAATTGTAGTTGCCTTAAATTTGAAAGTTGAATCAACTTTACAAGTCATTTCAACTTACATTAAATTTAAAACATCAAGTTAAAATTTGTATATATTTCAATTTGTTTAGTTAAAACCTAATTAACTTAAAATACACTAAAATAATACACAAGCATATGTTGCTATGGCTTTTTGAACATAAGCTGCTTTTACTGCTTTCATTAAAAAATATCTTCAATTCAGAACTAAAGCGGCAATCACACTTTTTGGGATAGACTTCCATTCATACAAATGTGAATGCAGCAGACTAAAAATGCGAAACCTGTCACACAAGCTTGCATGTTGCTGAGACCAATAGAAGATCAAAATGTCTGAAGGTCAGAGAGGTCACATTTTGAAAAATACAAAAATTTTTAATTTGGAGCAACTGCTTGCTTTATCAATGACTACGCTTACATGGACATCAGTAATCAAGTTATTTCCTTTAATCTGAATAAGACTATAATATAATTAAGGTGTTTACATGAGTTGCTTTTTTAATGTTCCTTTCATGATCCAATTTTACATGTTACAGCACATAATTCGATTAACGTCATTTCGTCCCCACGCTATCCACATTTCCTTCGGAGTTTCATCTAATTTCAGGTGTTTCAATTATTGTTATTAATTATTATTAATGTTTCAATACATTTCATGCATGCCCGTCATGACAAACGAGATATTGGATGCGAGTATGAACTGCTGGAAGACTTGTTTGAATGGAATTTGATATCGTATGATGTATGTGGAAAAAACCTCAGCATTTCACGGTGTGTGTCAGTGGTTCTTTACTGACTCTGTAGTTGCAGAAAACAGTGTCAAACAGCCGTGTGTAATAGTTTGATTGCGGTGTTTACAGGTCTGTACTGCACTTCAATAATGTAGATAAAATTGGCATACTCCACATGTCTTAATTTGATTTCTGTTTAGTTCAATTATGACTTCAGTCGTATTAAGTTCATTAAAAATCGCTGTTTATATGGTAGACTCTTAATCAGAGTACTGTCTTAATCGCATTACAATCGGATTAATGGTGTCCATGTAAACATTCTTAATGTCTAATCATCTTGTTTTATCTTGGCCTTTTCGCATCATTGTATGACAGAAGTCTGCATACTCAAACTTGTGTAGCCGTGGCTTTAGCTGCTATGTTGTGTTCTAAATGCTCCTCTCATACCTCAGCTTTGGCAATCAATCATTGTCTCACATCATATATTTGACTATCCAAGCTGGCAGAGGAGGGGTATCAATCCGTCACTCTCTTTTAGTCAGGCAGGTTATAGGACACGTTTCAGGTGAGGCTGACCATAGCGGTATGAGAGCATCTAGCCTGTGATTACAGATGTGCATGCGGCGCGTGACCAGCAGGCAGAAAACTCAGCTGCTTGAAGGACACAAACTCTCTCAGGTAATCATTGTCTCCTCTGACCCTCCTCTTGCTGTGTGGCATATTTTACATGCCAGAATACCTCAGTCTCCTTAGAGGTCAACTGTCCAATTACAGTCAGAGTTGCACCCCAATCCCCCTGGACAGTCACCCCTCCTGTTTCATTCTTCTATCTGACCTCTCTCTCTCTCTCTCTGATGGCAGCCGAACTCAGATGAGCTTATTCAGCTGCTGGGATATAAGGGTAAATATGACAGCTCCTCTTTTAAATAAAAACACAGGCCTTCCATCAGGCGTCAGTCTGAAGCGTTTGAGTGGCAGCTGGCTTTTAAAATCGGATCTGCATCTCATCAAGGTGACTGGGCTGTGGAGATCAAAATCTCTACAGAATTATAATATTAAGGCAGATACTGGCTGCTCGTGGCTTTTCATCAGGTCAGCATTTCAGATCACATTGCTCGAGTCAATAATGTCATTTAAAATGCATGAGGGTTACAAATACTGCTTATCATTGCATACATGTTAAATGGAGTGAGATATTAGGCCTTTTTCCTTACACCTAGCGAGCTGTATTGACCTATGAATGGGGGCAGGGTGCAGCATCAGAGTGCACAATCCACCTGGATGATGTGACGGCAACCGTATTGTGCCAGACTGCACACCACACACCAGCTGATTGGTGGGGAGGAGACAGAGTGATGAAGCCACTTGTGATGTGGGGATGGTTAGGGGGTCCAGTGTTTGTCGTATTACTTCGTAATATTTCTATAATTTGATACATTTTGTTAAATGACAGCAATAAAATATTGTTTATTTGTAAGTCTTGGTGATTTTTTTATGATTTATCTGTCACTACTTCTGTATGTTAACAAATAAATACAAATTAAGTATAATTCCTAAAATTGTATTATAGTTCCCAAAAATTTGGGTCGCGGCCTGATGACCATGTAAAAATTTGGGTTCTATGGCCAAACCAGTTGAGAATCTCTGCTCTTCACTATACTAGGACGTTAGAGCTCACATAGACTACAGGTTGAGCGCCCCCCTGCAGGTCTCACTAACACCACTTCCGGCAGCAACCTAGCTTTCTCATGTGGTCTTTCATCCAGATACTGACTGCTTAGCTTCAGTGAAATCATGTGAGAGTTGCAGAAAGCTAGTTGTCAGCAGAATAAAACGATTTCAACTTTCACCAACAGCAGAACCAACTTCAGGAGCATTGGACCAATCAGAAGAATTCAGAGGTGGGTTTAGTGTTGCAAGCTTCTGCTTACAGTAGCGAGTAGGCATGACCACTGCAGTGGTCTTTTCTGTCTAACTCCAGTGACTGCACATCTGGACTGTCTGTTTTTATCACAGGACCATTGTGCCTTGATGGTTCGGAACGAATGCAAGTACTGTGCTGGTACATTGCATTAATGTTTTTGATGCAACTACAAATGGGCTACTGCCATATCACCCCAAGACCTGGATGGAAACCACATGGGAAAACTAGGTAGCTGTTGGAAGTGGTGTTAGTGAGGCCAGCAGGGGACGCTCAACCTGCTGTCTATGAGAGTCCTTAATGCCCCAATAAAAGTGAAGAGGACAAAATACTGTCAGTGGGCACCGCCTTTCAGATGTGATGTAACACCAAGGTTCTGACTCTCTGTGGTCATTACAAATTCCATGGCACTTCTCGTTAAGAGAACGAGCATAACGCTGGTGTCCTGGCCAAATTCCCTCTATTGGCCCTTACCTATCATGGCCTCCCAATCATCCCCATCCACCAAATTGGCTCACAGTCTCCACCTATGGCTGGTGTGTGGTAAGCCCACTGGCGCTGTTGTCCTGTGGCTGCCGTCACATCATCCACGTGGATGCTGCCACTGGTGGTGGTGTGGAGAGACCTCTCCTCATGATTGTGAAGCACTTTGGGTGTATTACATTACACTGCATTACATTTTACACAATAGTTTAGGCTATCCAATTTAAAGTGGAACAGAATTTCATTAGGATGAAGTTTGCAGTTTAAAACATATCTAAAAAAAATAAAAAAATAAAAAATGTGTACTGATTTAAAATACTGCAACATGTAAAAAAAAGATTTAAAGTGCACTTAAAAGTAAACTTTAATTTTGAAATTATTTCAAAGTGCACTTTTTCAATATATGTGTACTTGGGTGCAGCTGGAGAATGTTTTATTTCATTATTATTTCAGTAGGCAGCTTTTCAAAATATACTTTTGAGATTTGATATTACTAGGGCACATTTAGTAATTCAATAATACAATATTCAAACAAGCATTACAATTCCTCCATGCTTTAGATAACTCACAATGACTCGAAATACATTTTAATTGGTAATTTTCAGCATTGTATTAAAATCTAAGTTATTAATAATCAACATAATTAAACTTGCAGTACATTCTGAAATTGCCTTCTCAATGCTCGGGTCCATGAGATCCTGCCTTTGTGTTCTGCCAAAACAAGGTATCACGGGTCGCCTAAAAATACTGCCTCACTAGTCAGCTCACTAGCTTTGGCACACAGCAGAGATAAAAAAAGAGAGAGACACTCACTGGGGTTTGGTGGAAAGAGTGTGCAGCTCTTGCAGTGGATGATTTCCTTCACTATAGGCATGTCTTGCGAAACTGGCGGGGGCACAATCCCAAGGCCGGGCATCATGGGGTTCATTGGAGCAATGCCAGTCATCATACCAAGGCTGGGGTCAAAATCTGTAGAAACACAAAGAGGACATCACAAAGGACTGAGTAAATAAAAGCCACTTTAGCCTGTGTGTTGATGCCATTATGCTGCGCACAAATTAAAGCTATGAGAGCTAAACATTCGCTCTCCACAATAAATAAACAAATAAGTCTAATACATATTTAAAAGGCTTTCTGAATGAATAGCTTTTTACTGACTCATTCCCCCAGCTGTTTGCCTTGGCTTGTTACTATGCGCGAGTGGTCCATCTGTGGGCATAAAAAGAAGTGAACACTGGCTTTCATTTACAGGTATTGGTTTAGACTACAGCTGCATGACAGCATGGAGCTCTTTGAAATGGAAATGACGGAGCCCTCACGCTCTGCGGTCTCTCCTGCACCTGTGGAGAGTTTATAAGTCTGTCTAACCTTACTAAGAGCACTCCACTAGCATGCTTCAAAAATTTCCCATATTTGCAGCCATGCCATATAAACAAGCTCTGTCTCTGGCATGGGGGTGGTGGTGTAGGAGTAGCCAAAAAGTTGTGCGAGAAAATGCATCTCACTACAAGGAAATAAAGGAATAACCCATTTCAGGGTGGATTCACAGTCTACATTCATGCTGTATTGTGATAAAAAAAATAAACAAAAAAATAAAAATAAATAAAACGTCTTTGTAGTTCGCCATCTCAGAAAAAGCATAATGAGAGAAGATGATGCAAAAAAGCATGTCTAAAATAAAGACCTATGATGTGCAAATCACACTATAAATAAATGCATAACACTTTTCAGCAAAGAACATAACACATATTTATGTTTATATCTACTTATTAGGCTTATTAAAAAAATTACATTACTATAAAAAGACAAAACAAACATTTTATATACTTACAATTCAGCTTTTAAATGAATTATGTAAAAAAAAAAACAGTTTGGGAAGGAAAAAGCATATTAAAGTAGCTTGGTACCCTGTAAAAAACTGTTCATTAGCAGCTTTATGCATTTTGTGATTCATGTTTTTATTTTTTATTTTCAATTCTCCCAATTATGTATGCTTTTGAATTGCATAATGGGATCTTGAACTACTTTTAACCTTTAAAAGTTCTAAAATGACTTTTAATAACATTTTAATAGTGTAAAGTGATATATTGTCTGGGTTGGTGTTGTATATTATGCTACAAATAACTTGTTTTAAAAACTATAATAAACCAAATAGCATAGCACCGTGTACTGATATACCTCTAGAACATTGCATTCATTTTTAGAGAATAATCTACATAATAATGTAATAAATTGCCAGTACACTTTCTGTTAACATACAGGCTTATTTCTCTATTTATTATTTCTTATATATTATATCAGAATCCTGCATGGGTCCTTTTTGGTAAACCCAAACCCGCAATAATTAAAAGAACACCCGACCCATAACCTAAAAGCAGCACCAATATTAGGGATGTCTGGATCAGGTTTTTTTTTGCCCTCGAGTCCGAGTCCGAGTCATTTGATTTTGAGTATCTGCTAATACCGAAAACAGATCTGATACTTCTATAATACATAAAAAAAGAATAAAGAAGAGCAAAGGATCCAGTTGTTCCTTATTTTTTATTTCATTCACCTTATTTTAACATTTAACAAATCTATTAACAAACAGAGCACTTCTGTGAGTTAGCTTGAACGATCAAGTAATAAATAACATCAATTCTTCACTTTAAGACTTTAGTGCAACAGTAAATATAAAACAAATCTAATATAAAAACAAATAGCTCCTCAACTTAAAAGTTTTTCTCTTGAGTGTCTCTTTTGCAACTCTGTGTAATGTAAAGGGGACGATGACAACAGATGTGCGGAACCTAATGCAGGTTTATCAACAAGAATGGTCAGGCAGGCAACAGTCAACACAGGTGCAAACAGATGTATACAGGCAAATCTAGAGCGTGGTCATACAACAGGTAGTTTGAAAAGGCAGGCAGCAGAAATGTGAATAAATAAAACAACAAAGCACAGGTCTAAACATACAAAGCAAGGCAAAGAAAACATGTAACAAAGTTCACAAACAGATAAACAAGACTCAGCAACAATGTGTGTGCGCTGTCTTTACAGCCCATTTGATTAGACAGCTTCAGCTGTTTGTGTTTGCAATCAAAGGTGAACCAGAACAGGTGTGAGAGTACAGGTATGATGGAATTTGTAGTTCATTTGGAGGCATATTTGTAGATTTGCGATCTGCATGGGTGATTGTGACACTCTGCAACCTGCTAGAAGGTAAGCTGGCATCAAAGCTTAAGTGTAACGCAGGAAAGAGACCAGTAGCACCATGATGAGCTTAAATCTTTTTTCAAGTTGTGATAAGCGAAAAGAGTTGAGTGCTCGCTGTCCATCAGTTGCCACACGATTGCCTACAATGCTGCACACTGATTGACTACAGGACCTACATTCTGCCTGTCCTGTTTATTACCAACCTGCACCTGAACCGCAAAAGACACAGGAATAATTATCCCACCCGTTACATCAAAAATTAGTGGTTTACCCATACCCGCCCGCATGCAGGACTCTTGAAATTTCAACATCAAAAGTCGACAGAGCTGAGATCAAGGTCCCATGATGGAATCGTCATGATGCAATTGTAAATACACACACACACACACACACACACACACACACACACACACACACACACACACACACACACACACACACACACGAAACTTGTGTATATATGTATATGTATATCTATCTATCTATCTATCTATCTATCTATCTATCTATCTATCTATCTATCTATCTATCTATCTATCTATCTATCTATCTATCTATCTATCTATCTATCTATCTATCTATATATATAGCGTGCTTAGAAAACATGCCTTTATTTCCTGGCATTCCATTAATAAACTTTCCTTGAAAACCATTAATAAACTGCTCGCATGTTAAAAACAGGCAATTTGAACCTTTATTAGTACTGTACATGAAGCTGTGCACTTTTTACTAGATGACTATTCAGTCAAGTAAAAAAAAAAAAAAAAGTACAAATTAGCCCAAAATGCATTGCACTTTTCTTGAAAATTCTTTCACATCTTTCATAACTCTTCAGGTCAGCAATATTACATGACAGAGATTCATTTTTTTTGTTATTAGAATATATCAGAGGACATAAAACAGGTAAGCTAAAAACTTTATAAGAACTTCTTCCATAAGATCTACTAGACATGAAGCTGTTTCACAGAGAGGGTCAGGATGGAGTGTGAAGATAAACTGGCAGATGTGTGAGAGAGGTGGAAGCCCTTCAGCAGCCAACAGGTCCAGATCACGGCCTCTCTTGGAGATTTATTAACACAAGTGAGACAGGACCTGCTGCATGTACAAAAAGAAGAGCTGACCGCCATAATCATCAGCCTTAATGAGTGTGTTAGTATTGATATTTCTGTCTCACAGCAGCTCAATGGAGGCAGGAGATAAGATGGCTCACTGTTGTATAGATGCCATTGCTTCTGCTGTGTATTCTAGGACTGTAAGTCTAAATCAGTACCTTTTAATTACGATTCAATATTGCACCTACAGTACAGTCACAACAGAAAAATATGTTTCTACTAATATTTCTGTAAAATCCCATAAAATTTGCTGAGACAAACACTAGAGGCAGTAAAACACCATTAACTTTTATTCCTTTTATGCCAATTATGTCTACGCAAATTATGATTATGGGTAAATGTGAAACAGTAAATGCCCCAGACTTCCTCACTCAGCTTCCACTACATCTACGCTGATACTTTTACTCTACTAAGTTTCTCAGTGGGATTGGAAAGCAGTGTGTTGAGCATATTTGTTCCACTGGCCTTGTTCCGCTCTCATTATTTTCGCTCCCACTTCACTCATCTCATAATCCCTCATTGCCCCTCGCAGACCAGACGGTACCCTCAAGACTGAGCTCAAATGTGTCACAATGGCAGCAGCACCCATGGATGGAGACAATGGCTAAGCAATGAGCCTCCTGTTCCCTCACTCTGCTCGAGCCTCTGTATGTTGGACAGGAGCAGGCCTTGGCTTCTTGTAAATGATGAGATCCACTCATCTCTCAGGGTTCATGTCCCCTGAAGCATTTTGAACTGCAGAAACAGAAGAGCTGTTCTTTTTTCTGTAGGTGTCAATGGAAGCACTGCTTTTTAAAAACAATGGCAGTGTAGATAGGGGCTGATGAGCATTTAACGCTCACTTACTGTTGCAGATGTGCTTGTTGGTAAGCGTTTTTAGGGCAGCACTTGCATTTCTGCAGCGCAAAAAACACTTTGTTGGACATGCACCCTTACACAATGTCCTAACAAATCACAACGCCACAAGATTTATCAAATAAGCAATTTGGCTGTCTGCACAAAATGTGATGCAACATGACAGAAACATTTAAATACAAGCCAATGCACTCTCAAGCAAATGGAAAAGGCTTTTCCTTCTCAAATAGAAATGTTTTTTTTTTTTTTGGAGTATCACGGCCAAGTCGCATTTAGTTAGGACACAGTGTTAGGCTGTAGCGCTGGTTATTTTTCAATGGATGGCTTTTAGTGTCATCTCGCACCTCTCTCTTCAGATGCCCAGAATTGAGCCCCTTTCTTTAGCACTGCCTGCTTTCTATCACATCAGACAGTAGCAAATCCTGTTGAGTCAATCCACCCTTACTACAGTATGAAGATCTTCCAGCACCAGCCTTAAGCATCCTTGGTGGCAGAATCTGCTCGATCCTTGTACATGTCAGTCGAGGAAAGATTTTGTTAGTGTTTAGGCCCTCATTTATCCTTTTTCAAACCAGTATGGGCCAGGGTAGGGTTAAACCAGCTGTTCGTAAGTTCTTTCTTAAACTGAAATGTAAAGTCAACACTAGGAGCTCAGTAACTACTAGCTAGTTAGTAACAAATTTTGTTCTTACTTCGGTTGCCCCACATGTTCTTAAGGCAAACCGTAGTTAGTAGGTTGTAAGCTCTCTGTAAAGTCATGTGCGTCCCATTGAATTTTGTAATATGCAATAAGAAGCATTTAAATTG